TATATTTTTTATACAATATCAAGCAAATGAATCATTATCCTTCTTACCTTTTTGATTTATAAGAATATACATAAATTAGAATATAAATTTTTGAACCACTATTGATAATCAATTTTTGTGAAACATATGTTTTACTTTGCTTGCGAGATAAATTTTAGTTTAATTAACGCCTTATTATAGAGATTTACAATAAATATGGAATTCTTAACTAAAGTTTATTATCTTCACTTGTCACGTCATGAATTTTATTAAAATATGATTATTTTTGGATGAATGAATGATTTCAATTTGTGCAAAAATGTACATTAACAGCGTATAAAAATTTGCATAATAACTAGCACTCAAATCCAGTTCACATCTTAAGGACTAATTATATGTTTTTCCAATCCTGCTTCAAAAATCAGAATATCTATTTTTGCTGGGAATCTTTCGTTTGAGAAGCACTAAATCAGTAGACCGAATAATGCATTCTACTTCGAATAGTTTTTTTCTGAATGAGATAAGAGGAAATGTTATTTAATGGGTTACATTGTGCGTCGGCTGTGTAGAGTATCCTTGAGCAGCTTTAAATATTGGAACAGTTTAATGAATAATTAAAATATTTGCATTAAGAAATTTGTATTCATGTTAACAGTAAATGAGAAGAATTAACAAAAAATAGTATTCATGTATCTAAAAGTAATACATAGTTTTTATTTATGAACATCAACAATGATTCATATTTCCAAAATTTATTTTTGTCAAGACTGATGAAAACACATATAGCTTTATTATATTTTTATTTTTATGTCGTTCATAAAATAATTACTTTCAAATTGAGTTATGAATTTTTTGTATACATAAATCAAATGGTTGAGAATTTTCAATACTCGATAGCAAAAGGGCTATTTATTTGATGCATAGTTAGAACAAATTTTCTCACGTTGGACTAATAGACAATGGAGGTGTATGGAATGTTGTATGTAGCAGTTTCAAGATATTTATAAGGTTCAATTATCTGCTTAAAAGGAGCAATAATAAACATGCATATTACAATGGAACATTTGTTAATAAAACCATTAGTCATATTTTATATTTAATGTGAACTTCGAAAACTGTTTGCCTTGTGATTGCAATTTTAATATTGCCTTAAACTTCTCAGCTTTATTTCTATTCGATCAAAAATCATGAATGAAATATTGAGATAATTGGTATCAAAACTTATAAATATTCTGACTTTTACTTGACATGTAAAGGTAATACCATATATAAGCTACCAAAATAATTTCAAAATAATTTATCAACGGGTTTTAAAATAAATAACTTAAAAATAAATAGCCTAAATGATAAGAGTATTTAAGATTACTTTCTTAATCTGTTTATCACTATTTAAGTAACAATACTAGATAGTAATTTAAAAAATCTATGACATGAAAATAAATGTATATCTGTCTGTGCCTGTATTTTATGCATTCAAAAGCTATACATCCTATCGCCGTGGAATTTTGGGAAATTATTAGGTATATTCCAAGGAAAAAGAAAATTTTTATACATTTTTATGCATACCTTAGGAAAAATTGATGTGTTTGTATGTGTGGTTACAAATTTTCGTTGACGGATTAATCGATTTGAATAATTCAAGAAACATTAGATACATATTGATGGGGAGACGTGCTGATTAGTTTTTGTCAAGGCGGGTCCAGTCGTTTCGAATGTACATGGCAAAAAGCGCCAAAAATTGTAATTCAGTTTTTGAGAGAATGAAGCGTCCGATTTGAATGATTTTATAAACATTTTATTTGTATTGACTAAACGAAGAACAGATCAAATTTTTGGAAGGCATGTTCAGAGTTTGGCAGATTCAAAAAAAAGTAAAGAAGAACGTCATTTGGCGGTCAAAAATGATCATTCGACATATGCACATCAAATTATTAGATATATTAGAGATTTTTATAATAAGTACAAATTTTGTTTACATTTCAATGGTTTCGGCACCAATGTTTATCCGTTAGCACTTTGATATTTCTCTAAAAAAAGCTCGAAACAAAGTTCAAAACATAGAAAATATATCATATTCTTCAAAAAAGTTTTTTTTTTCGAAAATTTCAAAATTCTATAGAACTATAAAAAAGCTCGAAACAAAGTTCAAAACATAGAAAAAATATCATATTCTTCAAAAAAGTCTTTTTTTTTCGAAAATTTCAAAATTCTATAGAACTATTTTTTTAAAGTTTTCAAAAAACTTCAAAGCTATTTTAGAAATTTTAATTTTTGGTACTGCAGGTTCCAGCAATTTGCCTCAAAGCATGATGCTACTAGTTAATGAAAATTGTATAAGTAAAAATAATTATAGATAAATACATTTTGTAAAATAAAGTTCTACACGTCAAGTCTAGTTATCACAATCGCAATATTATTCCTATATAGAGTAGCGAGAAAAAAGTTTTCAAAACTGTTGTATTATTCAAATATCATCATTAGCGCCAATGTTCTTCAGTATATTACAATTGAGAAGTGTTGGTGTGATTTAAGATGTCGATGCCGCCTTGACAGTGTGCATTCGCATGGCGAATCTCGGCCTGACTGCACATGCAAGAGCAATTGTGACCTTGAATCATTTACTAAGGCCACCAGACAGCTAGCGCACTTGAGCAATGCGCGAAAGCACTCGCGAGACCGAAAGCCATCAAGCTTCAATTTGCATGTCGTTTACCATCGCATCGTTCATCTATGGGGAAGATTTAATTCATATATACGAGCACATAGATTTGATTAAGTTGATAGTTTTTTATAATTTTAATCAACTTCTGAGCTTGAATTTGTTAATTCTAATTTTTCTATGGAAATCTTTACGCAGTAAACTTTTGATTATCAAATGTTCCTCAGCTCAAATGTCGGGAAATTGTATATGTATTTGCTAATATTATATATAATATATATTCAGAGTAATAATATTCATAAATAAACTAGGCGTAAGTGTCATTTTACCGTAGACAAGATACATGAATTTCTCGACTTCTCGATGAATCAATGTATGAGCATATAAACACATATATAGTATAGTACACATATAAATTTATGAGCATTTTATAAGTACACCTATTCCTCGTTTTACACAATACTCGTTTTACACGTTTTCGATCTTACACGGTTTTTGAAAATAAAAACCATTTTAACATAATGTATTAATTTTGCATTTACACAAAATTATAAACACTAAACTATAATTTACTTATATTTACAATAATATTTTCATTCTTTTACTGTCAAAATACAACACTACAAATTTTAAGTTACTGTTACAAATTCTCAGTAGTATATTTCTATGAAGTAAATATATAAATAATATGGAAACTCTCCGTTCCATGATCAAAACCAAATTTCATGTATATATAAGCTAGTTTGTTTGAATTACCAAAACAAAAACCATCATTGTTTAAACTTTGTTTTTAACTAGTGTTTATATATAATTGATAGCGTAAAATATATATTTTTATATTTATTGAAATAATATTAAAATTATTAAATGTGTTCAATATTACATATATGATGTCATCATATTAAAACCTGACAAGAAAGGCTTTTTATAGTGATTTTTTTAGGTTCTGAAAGGTTGTCAAATATCTCCCTTCCGCTTTTTTGCTACTGGTTTATAATACAAAAAGGCGGAAGGGAGATATTTGACAACCTAATATAAAAGAGAATTTTTTTAGTTACGTGTTTGTTTATAGAACCTATCTTCTAACTAAAAATTAATCAGCACGATTCCCCACCAATATCTTTCAAACAGTTTTTGAAATCTAATTTTTCAAGTCGATCCAGGATTGTGGGCGAAAACTGGCTAGACGTAAAATTTTACACTTTTTCTCAAATTTTGTAGAGTTATGTTGAATAGTTGTTAAATTTTTGAAGTCGGTTCAGCCGATCCTGGAAATACGTTGACGAAACTTCAAAAATCGGCTCACAAATATATACACACAAATACTTTTTACAAGTTTCATTTCAAACGATTAAGAATGACTTGAAACTTCGAGAAAATATAGAATTAGCATGTTTGTTAACATTAACTTTTTTTAGTTAATAAATCGACTTTTGCTTATTATGATTACACCACAATCCTAAAAATGTTTACTAAAAAATAATTTTTAGTAATTAATCTTATAACTTACACTTTCAGTCCAGCTATAAGTTTCAGTTAATACTTAAAATATTCTAAAATGTACTTTAATAAATACCGCATAAAGTAACATTTTACACCTCCCTCTAATAATATTGCCATATATGATCTTTGATATGGATTAAAAAATGTAGTTAAACAGAATGCCGTCTGCATTTATTAACTTTTATTAATGTACGCATTAAGTTAATGAGATCACAGATTGTAAGTAGTTTATTTCAAGCAAATCTTATTATTGAAATGTCATGTACGAACATCATTTTTTTCTCTTGCATTGTGAACTCACATAATACGCAAAAGACTAATCATAAACCAGAAAACTTGTTTTGAATCTCTCTAATCACACATAAATATTTTTATCAATAATATCAATTAAAAATGAGACAATTTGAAAGATAACTGAAGCAATGAAGTAATAATCCTGGATTCTTCAAGCACAAACATGTTTGGGTTTGTGCCATTAACATGCCATTACCTATGAAATGTTGTAGTACCACTTGCATATTTATAGAATGCATTACTTCGCAGATTTTATCCTTTGACAAAAAGTTATTCATGTTATGTGAATCAATAAGAAATATTTCATATTTGTTTCACTTTAAGCTTTTAATAATGTGATAAAATTTTCTGCAATTTGTCGAATTTCTGCAATTGACAGTTATGATACTTATTGTTAGTCAAAAAAAAAAATGAAATTATTTAAAAAATATTTGAATACTAAAACAATTAATTATTAAATAAAGTACTTTTTTATATAATCCAATAGATTATATTAAACAAATAATATGAGGCAATGTTAAGTTTAACAATATGACAATGTATTGTTATTTGACAATTTTTTCAGACATTTGAACATACAATAGCTTCGAAAGGAATGTTGGTTTTTCTATATCGACTTATTCCGGGGCAAACTACAAAAAGCTTTGCAACTACCGTCGCCAGAAGCTCAGGCATACCAAAAAGCACAACTGATCGGGCTAAAGCAAGACTAAGAGAAACTGAACTTCCAGAACGCTCATTAGAGCCTTCGATTCAGGTAATTATTTTTATTCATGACAAATATTCCATAATATACTTATTTTATTACATTAGTGTTTCGTCATTTTAACAAGCTATATTTTTTACTAATAAATTTTAGATGCACATATATAAATTTAGTGAATTTTAAAGGTTAAAAGGGATATAATCTGACAAACTCAAACAGTACTCTAATCTAAATTTAACTCTTTCATACAAAATGACAATTTCCTAATAGGAAGCATATTATCTTTTCATTTAAAAATGCATATTTGAATATTTATATAAGTTTTTACTTTCCTAATTATAAACACATGCTGAGTTACCGCATAAGTGCTCATAAGTATCAAAATATAGTCACTTATCATTGTGTTTTATTCAGAACTCAATATTGTTACAGCAGCTTAAATTTAATTTTAATTTATTTTACCAAAAATATACAATTCTGTTATACACTTTTTTCCTTATTTATGGTAATCGTGTTTTTTTAAATTATCAGTTTCTTTATACACTGAAAGTGAAATGTGGATTCCAAACGTATGCAAGATTTACGCAAGTCTTAATAAGTTTATATATAGCATAGTTTTAATAATTAGATAAATAGAAACCCTTTTATTTACTATTATATATACATTATATAATATTGATAGTTGATTATAATTTTTTTAAACAAATCATGTTTTGAAAATAATATTTTACATGGTATGAGTTTATGTTCTATTCAACCGGATACTTGTAAAAAAATTAAAATTATATAAAATTATGAAATATTTATATATTTCACACACTATTCACACTTAATTATTAAAAATTAATAAATCTAATTTAATAATAATTATTATTGATAATTTTTTGTGGGTTCTATTTTCCGAATTATTTAATTATAAAATGTAATTATTTATTACTTAACATATAATATTTTTAATAATTAAACATGCTAATAAATATTTTTTATGTTTGTTCAAATATAAAATTTTGATAATATAATATCCAATATTAACTTCCCGTAGGGTAAGTTATTGTAATCTTTCAAAAATCGAAATTGAAAATTTTTGCATTTTTCGACGTTGCAGAATATAGAAATCGAGTTTTTGAGAGAACGGAGCATCCGATTTGAATGATCTAAAAAAAAAACATTCAATTTGTAATGATTGGGAGAAGTGATTATTAGGTTTTGGCAAAGGCAGGCCCAGCCCTTTCAAAGATACCGAGCTAAATGTGCAAAAAATGGCAATTTTAGAGAGAACTAAGCGTCCGATTTGTATCAAAAATTTTTATTTCAATTTTTTTTTCATAAATTTTTTTTAGTATATCGAAAATAATTCAGACTTTATTTTTAATTCTGACTAAAATTCTAATATACTTTAAACAAATAATTTCAACTTTGCAATTCAGTTCAGATAATTCTTATAAATATTAGACAATGTTACAATATTTATAATAATCTATTTGAAAACATTCAATATTCCTCGAACATTTCGTTACGGTACGGGAAGTTCCAGCAATTTGCCTTAAGGCACGATGCCACACACCCCACGAGTTTTTATATCATTTTTCTATTAGAAATGAAAACTGAATTTAACAGTTATTATGTATGTATATATAAACTCAAAAAATTGATGTATATAATTCAGCCGTGTTCAGTTTAAATAAAATTTGAAATAAAAGAATGGAAAAAATAACTAATAATAAAAGGCAAAAATAATTGTAACCCAGGAACTAGTAAAAGTTAATAATGTGATTTTTTTTTAACAAAGTTTAAGATTGTTTTATACAAAATATTAAAATAACTTTTTTATTGTGCTGTAGAAATATACAAATAATATACAAAGTATAAATCAATAAACACCAAATAAAGATAACCTATATTTCAGTAGCAGATAATGCTCCTGAAGAAATATATATATATATATATATATATATATATATATATATATATATATATATATATATATATACATGTATGTATATATATATATATATACATGTATGTATATATATATATATATATATATATGTGTGTGTGTGTGTATTTCAAAGCCATAAATGTAATAATAATGTGCTTTTTGTCTAGGATTTAAATTTGGTAAACGGACTGATATTTAATTTACTGAAGCGCGATTCCGAAGAAATTGATTTTAATTTGGACTCATTCAAAACCATCTTAAAAGACAGCTCAGATGAAGAAGAATCGCCGACCACAAATCCAGGAACTTCTACCACAACAAACGGCGGAACTACTAGCGGAACCACTACTAGCGGCATGCCATATTCAATAACCGAATCTACAACGACATAAATTTATCTAGGAAAGAAATCGCTTAACAGATCGTTTTATTAAGTAAATATATTTATATACTTATATATTTAATTACAAATTATTATTCTCATCAATATATGTTGATGTTGGTATCTTGGTTTTAGTATCACAATAATTATGGTAACTATTGATACAAACATGTCCTGTCATGAACAAAACCTTGCAAGGTCGGAAATTTGTAATACTGTAAAAAAGATTAGTTTTTTGTTAAAGTTTGGCAAAATATTACAAACTCATATGTTTAAAATATATGTCACTAATTGATCATTAGTGCAAAAATAGGTAGAAACCAGATTAATACTATAAAAATAGATTAATATGTACTTAAATAAATTTAAATTACAAATTTTGTAGTTATGAGCTTTTTGGGGTTATTACGATTTGTTTCGTATATGAAGAAGCTTGTAGATTTTTTTTATTGCACAACATATGTATTCATTTTAACCCTTGAAGCAAAAATGATCCATTTTATGAAAAAGTATCAAAAGCAATCATTTGATGTATCTGATAGTAACATTTTTCAATTTTTTTTTCAATTCTGTTAAAATTTCTTTTGTTGCAAAACAGAAAGAGTAAACAGTGGTTTAGTTATGGTTTATCTTGTTTTATAAAAGTAATGTATGATTATTCTTGTTTCTAACTTTCAAAAAGAGATGCTTTGTTCTAAGTCATTCTAAATTGTTTAAAACAAAAATTAGAAAAAATATGAATGTATCTGCATGCGTATGGGTATGTGAGCCAAAATTTGACCGTTTGTCGGAGTTTTTTCAAAAACGGCTGCACTGAGTTCAAAAACGTCATGGCTAGTTAAAAATGCAAGATTAGATAATGAAATTTGCGATTTTCATGAAATATTTTATGGTTGAGGGTAGGTCGTGCGACTAATGCTTTGATTATAAAAGTTCATCAAAGTTTGCAGGAATGGACCTAGGGCGTACAACGCGTGTTCGTTTTTCGTTTGTCAAGAATAAATAATGTGTGTGACAAAATTGCAATTGCTCACATTATGAGGCCGTAACTCGGTATACTTACCCGAAAATCACTTATTGAAATGTTGATGCAATTTGAAAAACAAATTATCCAAACACTTATTTGTATTTATTAGTCATCATATAACGCGGTAGGAATGTAGCAAATTGTACTAAATTTCTGAATTACCTATAGCAGGATTCCCCTACAACGCGATAGCTGGTTTCCATAGCAAGCGTGACAAATTAGCCTGGATTGTTAAATGTTAAATCTGAGTTTATAGAACAGTTTCCATATTAAACAGTATGCGTTATCGGAGGGTTGACTGTGTATTATTTTGAGTCATATAAATTAATGTCTTCCACAATAACGTGTACGACAAGTTGGATTTATGCGTTTATGTAAAATGTTTAAAATCGTGCAAGCTATTTTGTGCGCATCTAAATATTTGCAGAAAAATCATACCTATCTGTTTTATAGCTGATTATAGTAAATCTATCAAATATTTGGTGTATATATTGTAATACCAAACATAATTGCAACAAAAGTTAAGAGGGCGCCACAAACATTGCATAATTTGCACGATTGCAATATCGTTCTTCAGTTGCCGAATAGTTTTTGCACGTGCCGCGCGCGCGTCCTGTCGTATCGTGCACGTGTAGTGATAGGTTATTTAGATTTTGTTCAGAATTGTACCAATTAATGAGGGACTTGTATTTTTTTATAGTGAAGTATAATAAATTGCAATGAATTACCGTAGTGCGTATAACGTTGAAAGTAACAATAATACTTACAATATAATAAATTCTATGTGTTTGATGATAGCAATGATGTGCTTACAGGGTGAGTTATTATTTTTTTTAATTATGAGCCGAAAATAATCAAACGCTTGATGATTTAATTTAGTACGCTGTTTGTTATTCTGCATTGTATTGTAAGTTACTGTCTGCGAAGTTAGAAATCCATTGCGTTCTATTTATTACTAAAAAAAATTCTTACTAGAGCAATCTTGGTAGTTTCCTTTTTTAGAATTAAAATTTAGATGATTTATAATAATAAAACTTGAGTATGGTAACGTAGTAGTAGTCATTGATAATATATGTATTTCATATTGTCATAACTATACCATCTGGGTCTCGTGGCAAATTGTTTTGATAGGACCCGTTGCAAAATCTTTTGATGGGGCTTATTTTAATAAACTTCAAGATTTTACAGAATACCTAATTATACATTGTTTATTTCTCTAATGGCCATAGGTCTCCTCTCTTAGTCGAGAATACTTGTAAGAGAATAAATCAGTGTTAATTAAATCGCAATGCAGAAAAATAATCGGTCTTGATTAGAATGGACATCTGCTGAAATTGCCTTACTACCCTTTAGTTAATAATAATAATGGGTAGTGCTGCCCTAGGGCAGGTTCGTGAGCTGAGTTTAACTCCAACTCGATTCAGGGAAGAAGTAGTGTGAGAGTTTTCATTCCCATTTTCATTTCACACCGCAGTGCCCGAGATGGGCTTATTTTCAATTGTAAACATATTTTGATCTATATTTTCAATTGAAAATGGACATCGCACTGCCCTTTAGTTACACCACTGGTATTTCAATTGGATACAATATATGTATTTCAATTAGATACATTTTTTGTTACAGTTGTGATATGACCCGTGGGAAAATCTTTTGATGGGACCCAATTCGTATAAATCATTGAGTTGTACTTCGTTTAATTTTAATGAACTTTGAGATTTTTCAGCATACTTACATATACATTGTATATATCTCACTGTTGGCCATAGGCCTCTTCTCTTAGGCGAGAGTACTTGTAAAAAAACTAATTACTGTTAATTAAATCCCAATAAAGAAAAAAAATCGTCTGCGATTAGAATCAGTGTCTACTGAAATAACCTTACATTCCTCTAGTTATGCCACTGGTATTTCAATTGGGTACAATATATGTATTTTAAATGAGGTACATTATTTGTACAGTTGTATAACCCATAGCAGAATCTTGGTCCGATCTGTATAAATTATTGAGTTGTACTTTGTTTAATTTTAATAAACTTTGAGATTCTTAGCATACTTAATTATATGTTAGTTATACTTAATTATATGGGCATTTGTCTAACTAATGCCCATAGAACTCCTCCGTAGACGAGAGTACTTGTAAAAAAAATTTTTACTGTTAAAACACTAATTAATTTCCAATGAAGAAAAATAATTGGTTTCGATTACAATGGACATCTACTGAAATAGCCTTACCATCTTTTAGTTATGCCACTAGTATTTCAATTTGGTACACTGAATCTATTTCAATTAGGCACTTTATTTCTTACAGTCCTAAAGATTAGTTGGTTGCTCTCTTCATTTAATGCACATGAAAAATTTAGTTCTCCCATGTTTTGCTGTTCAAAGCAGAAAGGTGCAATCTACAATATGAGAAGGCATGTCTTTCTCTTAACATAAATATTATTACTTTTAAGTTTTCTGTTTATATTTTTCTGAATATTTACCACCTGGTAAAGTGTACAATATATTAAGGCCTAAAAACTGATTTGATTCATCATTTTTTGAAGTTATTACATAGTGGTTCCGAATTCTAAAAGTGAAATTTGGCAGTCATTTATGTCGAAATCAATTATTGAATTTTATGTTTTCATAGCTAATAAGCAACACTAATTTATATGAGAATAATAACACTTGATATACTGTCAATTAAATATTATTCATAATCATAATTTTTCAAAATATATACAAATTCAAAACATTTAATGTTACTAAACAGCTTTGGTTTCTTTTATTCTATCAACAATTTATCTAACAAATCCTATGAATTCTCATTCATTTTTCATTTTAATTTTCATGTTCACTTTTTATTTCCACTATCGTTAAATAACTATCACTGTCTTTGATAGAGATTTGAATTGATTTATTTTCAGATTCACTGTTCTCATATGATGACAAAGAACCATTACATTTAAGTTTATGCCGATCTAAACTCACTTTTTGAATGTATCTTTTATCACAAAATTCACAGCAGTGTGGTCTGAAAAAACAAGAAAATTTTAATACAAAAAAAAAACAATTTCGTCAATACAAAATAAAATACTCACCTATGGTTAATATGTCGACATTCGTGCTTTTTCAAATTTGATTGTTGTGTAAAGGACCTCGAGCAGGTTTTGCAAGTGTGTGGTTTTTCTCCTGTATGTAATAACTCATGTTTTGCCAAATTGGATTTTTGTGTGAAACTTTTATTGCATGTTTGACACGCAAAAGGCTTTTCACCTAAAATGAAAATATCATGAAAAAATTTATCAAGAATTACTTAAATTACAAAATCTCTAAAATATTTTCATATTTTATAATTTATTCTGGATATGTAATACAAAGAGCTGTTTTGTTATATGAACCATTAAAATGGTAAATGGTACTTTTGGACTAGAATAAATTAGGATAATTTTTTTTTTCAAAAACCTAATGTAAAAGGAATCCGAAAGATCTGAAACAGAATGAATCAGGAAATGAAATGAAATAAACAAACTTGATCAAATAATCATTTAGGTAGTCCAGACTACAAAAATTTATTAAAAACTTTTAAGAAATGTGATTTTTGATGAGATGATTTCAATAATAGCAAATACTGATAAATACTATATTTAGTTTTGAAGGACCTTCATCAGCATGACTGAAGATTTTTTTTTTTTTCGATAATATTGATTATTAGTATAGAAGCTATAACTGGAACTAAACAATATGAATATATCCAACATTTCAATACCTGTATGAAGAAGTTGATGCTTCAACATATTCGCTTGTTGGGAGAAAGCTTTTCCACAGACTGAACAATTGAATGGTTTTTCACCTAAAATAAATAATTTCATTTATATACATATTTTTTAGTTTGATTACATTATTCAAAATGTTCATTAAAACTTCAGAGACTAATTAACTTCCCGTAGGGTAAGTTATAGTAATCGCAAAAAAATCGAAAATGAAAATTTTTGCATTTCTCGACGTTTCAAAGGTTTCTGAATATTTTGGCATACCTTAGAAAAAATGGATGTATGTGTGTGTGTGTGTGTGTGTGTGTGTGTGTGTGTGCGTGTGTGTATGTATGTGCGGATACAAATTTTCGTCGACGATTTCGGGAACACCGATCAACCGATTTGAATAATTCAAAAAACATTCGATTCGTATTGATAAGGAGACATGCTGATTAGTTTTTGGCGGAGTCAGGTCTAGCCGTTCCAAAGATACGGGGCAAAAAGTGCCGAAAACGGTAACTCGGTTTTTAAGAGAACGGAGCGTCCGATTTTAATAATTCAAAAAACATTTTACTTGTATTGACAAGGTGAAAAACCGATCAAATTTTCATAAAGGCAGGTCTAGCGGTTTCGGAGATCTAATGAAAAAAGTAAAAAAAAATGCCATTTGGCTGTCAAAAATGATCATTAGACATATGCACATCAAATTATCAGATATTTTATAGAGATTTTAACAATAAGTATAATTTTGGTTTACATTCCTATGGGTTCCGTACCAATGTTTACGCGTTAGACGTCGACGCGGAGCTTACGCGGTTTGATATTTCGTCTTTATGCAGTTAAAGCAGTACGATTGCTTTGAAAAAAAGTTTAGATCTTTCAAAATATGTCAAAATAAAGAAAACATTTTTTTTTCAAAAAAAAAAATTAACGAAATTTTTTTTTTCAAAAAAAAAGTAATTTTTTGTCTAATTGTTTGTCAAAAATCTTATTTTTTCGAAGTAAGTTTTTTTCAAAAATGTTAATCGTTTTTAAAAAAATAATTTTTGGTACGGGAAGTTCCAGCAATTTGCCTTAAGGCACGATGCCTTAATTGCCTTAAGACAGAATTCCACTTACAGCTAGTTTCATAATATTTGATACACTGATTAGATAAGGTGATGGTTATGAGCTATTTTATTTATCTAGTTTGAACATGCAATTACTCTTTTATGCGATATTTGAATTTACTACTTAGGATATTTATTTTTATATAAGAGCAAAAAACATTATTGGTAAACAAATCGACAAAACTCTCTGAATCAAAATGATACACTTGTGTGTATGGTTTATAAGAATTGTAGAATCATCTCATAGTCCAGTCATTTAAGCTTAAATTAGGTAAGAATCTCGAAATTCGAGATACCCAACTGTAAGTCTGTAAATACTTGTATTTTGCACTCTAAAAGTTGTCACAAAACCTACATATGGTAGGGTGTACGCAACATATGTAAGTTTTGAGACAACTTTTAGGGTACAAAATACAAGTATATATAGACTTACAGCTGGGTATCTCAAATTCCGAGGTGAATCTACTATAATGACTGGACTATACTCTTTAATACAAAGTATTTATTATTAAAGAAATCATAAAATAAATAAAAATGCATTAATAGAAATGTGATTCAAGGCTTCTAAATTTGACTTCAATAGTAAATAGATTGATAAATCAATCATATTAGTAAATTTTACATTTATTATAATACCAAGATTACTTATTCATCTGATTTTTTTTTATGTATTTAAATAAAGAACTAAAATAATTTAAATGAATTATTGAGTGATTTTCAAATAGTACCTGTGTGTACAAGCTTATGCTTTTGTAAATTTGCCAACTGAGTAAATCCTTTATTGCAAATATCACATAAAAATGGTCTTTCTCCAGTATGAGATCTAATATGTTTCCATAGATTACTTTGTTGCGAAAAGCTTTTCTCGCAAATAAGACACTTCCAATGAGATGTTCCTCCATGCTGTATTTTGTGTTCATTTAATTCTGTTTTACTTGGAAATTCCTTCAAACATGTTCTACATTTGTATAAAGTTTGTGCACCTTCACACTTCGGTACAACTTTCACAACTTTTTTATTGTTACTTTTGCTATTTAATTCTATTTCACTTAAATTATATAAATCTGACTGTTGTTCATTATCTATCAGTGAAGAATATTTTGATACATCGGCCGTTATGAAATGATCGAAATCTTCAAATACAATTTCTTCATATTGAGTTGATATAGCTGATGAATCTTGTTCACTCGAGAATGGCAGGACAAGAACACCAGCGCTTTCAATACTTAAATCTCTTACATCAGTCCGAGTTCTTTGTCCGTCAATAACTACAGACCCATCTGTATCTATTCCCATTACAGGTATACTTAAAATAAACTTTGAAGAAAACTGGTCCTAAAATGTATAAAATCATTTAGTTCAAAAGAAGTCAGATGAGGTAATAGTAAAGGTTTCATAAAAGAGGGTATAAGAACAACGGAGTATACTTTAAAGTTTTTTGGTATTATTCTATATTCATAAGGTCTGAATAAACTAGAAAAGTGAGCTGGTTATTCGTAAGCTTAAGTATGTCATGGATTAGCTGCAGCTACAATATAAATATCATATGAGTAACTATAACACAATATATTAGACTATTTTGACATTAGCTAGTTTTTGCAACACCACAATCAATCATAGTTTTTCTCGAACAATTCAATGTATGGTTATTTCTTTTAGATAATACAGGTTAAACCAATTTCGTTATGAGTCACACTTTTATTGAATATTATCGGTCATCCTTGATTATGATTTGATATTATGATTATCAAATTTATCCAATATCGGATAATAATAATATAACAAGCAGTTGTTTACACAATGTAAACTACAATTTTCATTCTCAATCTGTAATATTATAACTCACCTCATACAAATCAGAATTCATTGTTCTTCCTATTTTCTAATAATTATAAAGCTATGCTATTAAATTGATTAATATACACAATTTGAGCAGGAAATTTGTAGGTTCAAAAATGACACCAATGCATTCCTTAGAAGTCTGGTGTGTAAATGCATTTGATGTAACTCAATATAAAACATTTTTAAATTTATTTGATTATAGAATAATTATTAATATAAATTTAACGTTCAGATTTTTTCATTTATATTCCTGTTACTTTTCTAAACTGTCAAACTTGCTTGTTATTTTGACAAACTTGTGCACATGGTGTGATACAGGCGTACTTCTCGTTTGTGTAGAGTAATAGATACTGTAAACTACATGGATAAAACTTGCTTTTCTTTTTCTCCTCTTTTCATGGATAAAACTTGCTTTTCCTTCTCCAGAAGATTAGTATCGATTTTGATATTTTCATTTCTATTGCGTTACATTAAAACAATTTTATATTTTTAGTTCAAAGAAATAAATATTTATTGTTACATTTCACAATTTTTTTTAGGAATTCAATTTTTTAATTTTTTTTACGGTTTGCTGCTAATTTATTCTAAAGAGATTTGCAACACTCGTTTACAATTAGGTGTTCTAGACGTTTTTCTCCTGTAATTTTCTGTGTTTTTTTAACTTCCCGTAGGGTAAGTTATAATAATCGCAAAAAATCGAAAATGCATTTTTGTATACATCTTTACGTTTAAAGATTTTTGAACATTTTGGCATACCTTAAAAAATTAGATGTAAATGTGTGTGTGTTCGGTTACAAATTCTTGTCGAGCATTTTGGGAAGACAAATAAACCCACCTGAATGATTTAAAAATCATTCGATTCCTATTGATAAGGAAACATGATGATCAGTTTTTGGTAAAGGCAGGTCTAGCTGTTTCGAAAATATGGGGCAAAAAAGTGACCGAAATGGTAACCCAGTTTTTGAAAATTTTCTATTATTAAAAAAACAATGGATTCCTATTAATAAGAAGACGTGCTGACTAGTTTTTGGCATAGGCAGGTCTAGCCGTTTCGAAGATACTGGGCAAAAAGTGCCAAAAACGGTAATTCAGTTTTTAAAAGCGCGTCCGATTTTAATAATTCAAAAAACATATTACTTATATTGACATGAACTTACTAAATCTTTTTTTAAAAATTTAATTTTTGGTACGAGAAGTTTTAGCAATTTGCCTTAAAGCACGATGCCATACACCACTAGTTTGAATAAGGGGCCGTTCAAGTATTACGTAAGCACTATAGGGGGGCGGGGGGTTATTGATTTGATTATTTTGCTTATTTTGGGTAAGAACTTTGCTTACTTTTGCTGACAAAGGAGAGGGGGGGGGGTAAATAATTGTTATAAATCTGCTTACGTAATACTTGAACGATACCTAAGTGGAAAGGGTTGAAAGTGCCGATAATAATGTAAACCGGTTTTGTCATTAGTTTCTTAATTCGTTTTTTAGTTTTTTGATGCACTTCGTATAATTTTTATTAATTTTTGTTTGTTTGCGAATAATAAATACTTGAACAACCTACTATATACAATTTTTGTTTATATTCATATTATTCAGCTGTCGGTGAATGCATTTCTCAATGTACATTTTCCTACTGTTGAAATCTTCTTAATAATGGTTCGAGTGTAACTCTATATTTGAATTTTATTATCTATTACTTTCTTACTCACTTCTGAATTATTAATCCGTATGATTGATTAAAAAATGATGAAAGTAGAAATTAAAGACAAATCTATCAAACTTTCTTTATCTTGTCTTACTTACTTTGTGTAATATAGAATAAAATAAAACAAAACTCCAGAGAGAACAACTAAAGTCTTAAATTAAAATTCCTAAACTGGCTTTTTAATAAAAATCTAATTAGTGCTGTCGATCTGCTAAGAAAGCATCAAATGACCAGCAAAAGGGCGAAATCTATAATGATTGAGAACCTGAAATGTATTGCTTTCCGAAAGCGGAACTTAATCTAGGTTGCTTTGAAAACTCTCAACATGATTGATATGTCTGGTTAATATAAAGCTTGATGCTTATTAAGTTTCACAATATTAAACTTTTAGACGGATGATGCCGTATATATTTTTTGTAGAATGTTCTGAAAACAAATGACAAACTCATATTCTGATGTTTAATAAACAAAAACAGTAAAGTAGAAATCAAATATCATTCTAAAATTAATTTATTAGTGAATGTTTTCCGTTAATACAATGATTAGGTAAGCTCTTAACAAGTATACGTTTGACTTTTAAACTCACCTTGTTTGACTATTTTCTTACATATAAAATATTTGTCAACGTTTCAGAGGTGATCAAAGTAAGAACAACATGGTAAAGAAGCCAGAGAGTGAGAAGTCTACTGAAGGCAAAAAGCTTAAGCATGAATGCCTTCCAGCAGGAAAATACTGCCTTATCAGTTGTGATATGGATACAACTGGACGAAGGTTAATAGATGAAATATTCCATATAGCGGCATACACTTTAAATAGCCAATTTTCCCAATACATCATGCCATATGCAAATTTAAAACCAAGTGTCAGACGAGAACATAATATTCGCGTTACATCTGATGACCGTTTTAGAGTTTTGAGAAGCAATATAAACAATAAGGTTATAAGAACGAAGTCAGAAATATTTGGGTTATTAGATTTTTTGAATTGGCTAGCAGATGTCAAGTCAAAGTCAGATGGAGCAGGTGTAATTCTCATATTTTATGAACCTAAAAAAATAGTATCTTACATGCTCTTAGAAGCTCTTCAACGTTACGATTTACTTGGAAAGTTTAATGAAATTGTTAAGGGTTTTGCAAATGGACATGCATTAGCCGAAAAGAAATGTTTAACTACCATGAAGTCTTTTAACCTTAAAGTTTTATCCAGAGTCTTACTAGATCGAGAAGAACAATTCGATAATGCATCAAATAGAGCAAAAATATTTGGGAAATAGCTCAACATTTTGGTCAAGGTGAACGAAAGCACTTAGCAGCTGGTACTGGAGATCCAAATCGTGTAATATTAGACAACATGGTAGAAGTAGTTCGCCAGTATTCTTATCCTACTTCTGTAGAATTAGGTGAACTAAAAGAACTGCGCAAAGTAGCTGAAAGAAGCAGTTCATTCCAGCCAATATTTAGTGCAGCTGGCAAAATGAATTATCGGGATATTCAGCACATAAATGCTTTAAGATCAATATTGGCTGAAGGCAAATCTGATTATAATACCATGAAAAGTACTTATGAAACAGATGGAAAACAAGGCCTAATAAAGGAATTGGCCAAATTGCAAATTACAAGGAAAGATCAACAACATGATTTATTAGAGATATTGGACTCACATTTTGATCCAAAACGTACTGCCACTTTCCCCAATACAAAAACGCCAAAAAATACTAAAAATAGGAAATTAAAAAAGACTGTTAGCAGTGATGATAGTGGAGCTGTGTCTCTTGATACAACTAGAACAACTTCTCCTTTAAAGAATGCTGCAGATAAATCTGTGAAGACTAATTAATTTTAATGCCAGATAAACTTGATTTTTGATATACATATGTTGGTATGTAGTTATGTATGTAATATACTTTAATAAAACCCATTTCAAAAATCATAATAATATTCATATTTTTTAAATTTTATTTAAGATATCTTAATGTATAAATTTAATTTGATTTTATTTAGAGCTGTAGAGCTTGTAAATTCAGCTTTTGTTAATATCCAAAAGTCATACAGATTATGTTCATATGGATTGTGATTTATCGGTTTGGATTTACTAGATGGGCATTATTGAATAGTATTATTTTAAATTGTGCCTTATATTCATTAAACTTTTTCTTAATATTTTTAAGTAAAGCTTCTTTAGGCGCGACCAGGGTGTAAATTCGTACAAATGCAACGAAAGTGCGTTACGGCAGATGAGATATGAGTAGTGCCAATGATTCGTCATTCGCTCTCGATCATTTTTGTACGGGTCGCTTGTGATTAGTCGTTGCGTATGTGTATAGAGATCTGTCGTTGTATGCGTACCGATATCGACAAGGAAATCGGCGTAGATAAAGTTAAATCGTAGTATAAAGCTTGATTTAATGAAAAATGCCCGAATCAGAAGAATATTTTACCCTGTTTCTAGACAATAATAAAACAAATTAAACATTTTTACTAAACGTAAGTTTATTGACTAGAAATTATTAACTTCCAGTTCGACGATTTCGGGAACACGGTTTAACCGATTTCAATTATTCAAAAAGCATTCGATTCCAATTAATAAGGGCACGTGCTGATTAGTGTTTGGCATAGACAGGTCTAGTCGTTTCGATGATACGGGAAAAAAATGCCAAAAACTGTAACTCCGTTTATAAAAGAATGGAGCGTCCGATTGTAGTAATTTGAAAAACATTTTACTTGTATTGACAAGATGAAGAACTGATTAAATTTTTGAAAAAAAATGTCACTTGGCGGCCAAAAATGCTTATTGGACATATGTACATACAATTATCAGATATTTTATAGAGATTTTAATAATGTGTAACATTTTGGGTATTTTTTTTTGGGTTCCGTACCAAAATGCACCCCACTCGTTATTATAATTTTTGTAATAGTGAGGAATTTTTTATCGATGGAGCAAATAAGAAATATTTTTATTTGGCAACATATTGCTTTCTATTTTTTTATTTTTGGAACTGGGAAATCTGTTTCAAATCTCATAACTCTAACCACTGACCTACGGTCCAACCCTGCAAAACAATTATCGTGCTAAAAATGCCTAAATTTATACACAATAAAAACATATGGTTGGCTGATGAATTTGTGTTTAAGGGGGTTGTTTGGTTTTTATTTATTTTTTTCGATTTTGAGATTTTTTGATATTATGAAAGCTAAAAACCTTAGAATTATTTAAAAAAAAATCATCTCAATATCTATTTTTTTGACGAAGTTATAGATATATATTTCTCTATATGTATGATCCTCTGAAACCGTTTTTTTCATCGCTTTGCGAGTTATTGTATGCTGCTCTCTTTTTCATTCTAATACGTCATGTACGTGGCCTTTTTAATGTGTCAGCATCTTTAAACACCATGGTGTATTTAGTACATTAAAATAATTGGTGTATTTAGTACATTATATTAAAAACTTTAAATACGTTTTTCTCAAATTGACTTTTATCAATGCGGTGCCACAAATTAAAAAAAAAAACTACAAGTCGGATCGACCAATTTGTTCACCAGTGCAATACCTAGTCCCCCACCTCAAACAACTTGATAACATTACGCAAAAAAAAATTGCGAAGCTTCTCGCCCCAAAAAAAGGCATTTTTTGACAGTTTGTTTCAGGCGATGCGCAACGGATTTATCTGTGGCACCGCAAAAGAGATCGATTTTGCAAGGCCGACTTTGCCGCCCCCTGGTTAAAAAATGACAGCGAAAAAAAAATTCGTAATATTCTATGATCTTGTAATTTCTGTTTAAAAAAAACCGCATGTCTCTATGATAAATACATTTCGAGAAAAACAAAAACAAATATCTTGCATTTTTCGTAAAAAAAAACGAACAACCCCCTTAATAATATAATTGTTTTAGCAAAGTTGACTTAACCATTTTCTCATTCATCCAACGTTATATTGACAGTGTTTTTAGTATCACAATATTCCAAATTTATCTTTTATCTTGTTCTTGAGATTATCAGGATTATCTTTTTCTTGAGAGAATCAGCCTCTGTCATTTAGCATATGCCAAATCAACTTAAGATTCAGTATGATTCCAAGACCAAAGTATATAACTTTGTTTTGGTGCAATTAAATAGAAATCATTAAAATACAAAATAATCCTTAACTGCGGATATTAACTGTTTTAACAGAATAGATGAAAAATATTGGATGAACGAATAATGAAAAAAATTCTCGATATAAAACGATTACATTTAGTACAATAACTTGATTTTATTAATTTTGCCTTATCTGCAGTTAGTTTTGAAATCGCAGAAGTTTTATAAAAATAATTTTGTTATTTTGTGTTTGTCCAAAGGTCCTGGGTCGTCCTATAATATTTGTAGTTTGTTCATTATTCAAAATTGAATTTAAATTTGAATGAATTCTTTACCTGAAAAGAATCGGTAATAATAACTTCAGTAATATGTAATTATTGTGTTATTTTATTGCAAATACAGTTCATATACAATGTATCATAAAATGCAACAAATGTATTTTTATATGTTTTGTGTTTCATAACAGGGAGTAGCCGTTTGAAATAACCAGATCCATTTAGTGTTTCTCTCTAAAGATCGGTGCGATCTGTATGAAATGTCCGATTTTACAAATCGGTGAAGTATTTGAATAGTTTCTAGTCATGTTATTTTCATATTTAGGCCACAACTTATCTAATAACTGTTAAAATAAATTTTAGTTATTCCCGAACGATTATTATTTAATGCGCACCATGCGCCCTACGTTTCATAGTTATGTATGAATTATATAGTTAAATAGATAACAAATATGGCATAAAATGACTATTCAAGTAGTATCCCTATGTACAATAATTAACCTAATAAACTATGTACAATAACAATCACGTAAATGAAATTTGTCCGTCGTTATCGTGTTATATTTTATGATTGTTATGTAGCTGTGTTAGCGACAATTTTTCTACCATGTTCCAAAATTATGTTATATTCACAAAGAGTGCTGCTATTTCGAATATCTTTAATCTATAATGTGGATTATCGTTTACAATAGTTTTTAGTTTCCGTAGCACTAGACTAACAGCTACATTTCAAAAATAAAAAATAAATTAGTGAAATAATATTGACACACGATTTAGATTGTCTGTGATTCCAAAGCAATTTCTCCGAGTATGCATTTTTATGCAGGACCAGAACAAAAGTTCTCTGACCGCATATGTGGTGTACGACCCGAGTATTTGGAAGATATTTCTAGCATATGGAAGCATGTTATAAACATAAAAACTTAATATCTCAATGTCCAGTATTTTAAATACTTGAAATCACATTTAGTTCATATCCAACAAATAATATTCTATTAGACCCATTATAATAATTTTTCTAAAGCCCCGAAGGCAATTCTAACTCTGTTCAATTATAACAACGATTACTTATACTTATTTCCATTACTTAAAGCATGTTTTTCATGACGAATTGATACATGATAAAAAATAAACATATTCCTATCCACATTTGTACAAAAATTGTTGCATTTTCTCATTATTTAGGAGCACTACTTTCAGTTAACTTAGGTCGTTCAATTCGCACCTTGAAACTTATTAGGAAATAGTTTCCATTTACTTAATACGTATATGCTTTCTGGTTATTGTTTGCAGTATGTGGTAAATAAATTGTTTGTATCTATTAATGGTGGTTGAATGAAATATTATTTATAGAATTAATGCATACTTCAATGAACCGATAGTTAATGGAAACCTTTATTATTCAATTATTAATAGTAAATGTTATAAAACAGTTCGTGTATTATATAAAGTCAACGATGGCAAGTGTTCTTTTAACATGTTGTATTCGATCGACTGTATACTTTGTGCCTATATATCCTATATGCAATTTTCCTAATTTTTACACAAATTTTCTAAATTACAATTAAATCAACACATTCGTTTGTATAAGTCCAGAAAACTTTGGAAGAACATGCTTAATTATTTACCCATTATGAACACAATATCAAAATATAAAAGGTAGATAAAAATTTGACACAATTTGGAAAACTTGTATTCATATTAAATAGAATTTCGAGCATAGATTTTTTGTTAAAATTAATACAAACTAACTAACTCGAGACCAAATTATATGTTGTATACTATCGTATAATTTAATACAATGGCGATCAATTGAATTAATAATAGATCTACTTAAAAACTTATTTAATATTAATTATCGTCTATAGAGGTGTTGGTATTATTCAAATTCGATGGAAATACGTTTGTTTTTATTTCATCGGCATTGTGTACGAAACTGTGCGCTTCTTATCGTAAAGAACGTTTCGCGACTCCGATTGCCTTATAAAACATGATTTTTTGACGTGCAGTCATTTCTTGACTTGATAACTTTGGCCGAAAATAAACGCAATTTGAATATTTTCCAGTCGATGTCTTCATTTTCCCCTATAGATTTCTATGATGCGATCTTGGTCGACGTATTCGAATATGTGCGGCGCATCCATTAGGATGCCTACGGTTCCGGCAGTGGTAACAATGAAGAATATATACAATTGCAGTCTATCTATAACCATCGCCACGTACTTCCAATCTTCACGAGTCTGAAATTAAAAGAAAAAACAACGTCACTACTAGTCTGATCACAAGATTTTGTATTAGATCTTAATGGACATTTTAACCATTTACCCATTTCAAATAAAATTTAGCTAACAATAAAACGGATTGAGTTTTTTTCTGCATTTTTTTTGACCTGAAGCATTTCAACAGCATACAGGTATAAGTACCTGTAATCTGGGTCAAGTATAGCGCATAGACTTTTCATTTAAAAGTTACACATATGTAGAGTTAGTGCGAAAATGCTTTTTTGGCGTCTCTATACTTTTTGATAGAAAATTATTGCATATGATTTGTAAATTTCACTGGGATCACTTTTACGTGTTTATTTGTTGGCCGATTCGATTCTGCCGTCAAATAGACCTATGTTATGGCAAAGCTATGTTAAGTAGCGTTTTACATATAAAGTTGTCAAATATCTCCCTTCCGCCTTTTTGTATTATAAACCAAGAGCAAAAAAGCGGAAGGGAGATATTTGACAATCTAATATAATGTTATGTTAAAAACTTTCAAAATGCTGTCAGGCGTTTTAGATAGAAAACCTAACCTAGAAAACGTACAAACATTGTAAAAAGAATATCATCATAAGTGTATCTTTGTGATGTGGCATCATAACATATGAGTGAAATTAAATTTCAAGTGTAAAACGCCTGACTGCACAGCAAATACATAGCATTTTAATAGTTTTTAGTAAATTTATATGCAAAATGCTGCGTAACATATCGCCATACGTTGGTCTATTTTATGGCAGAATCGGCCCCTAAGGACCCCAATGCATGCTCTTATTAAATGCCTACATAGGTATGACAAGATTAAGGTATTTTATTCCTTTTTATTCTGAAGATTATATAAATTTTATGACATAATATTTTGAGCTGTTGGTTTTGATTAATATGAGCTGTTGGTTTTGATTCATATACGACAACTCAGATCATTAAAAAAGTTATTTGAAAAATTTATTTATTCTTTATTTCATTAATGCGACTGTGTATTTTTTCACTATCTATATATCAATGTGTCATTTACAATATCTATAATTGCCAAATTGCTTAACTGAATGTCTATATAAGACAGGTGTAAATAATTTTTTTTTTATTTTATTGGCATTAGGTAAACGGGCGAAGCTTGGAATAAATAGGCATAACCTGCGTTTTAAATTCTTGGCTCATCAAACGAGGAAATTAATGATATTTTATCTGTTATTTTACTTTCTGAGTTCAGACCGATATTCAGTTTTAGAGAATAAACTTTTAATGACTATACACAATTCAGGTAGTTTGGGGTGACGCTACTGTACAAGCCAGTATACTGCACCTAAAAGACCAACTAGAGAAGTAGTACAATGTTTACGTTGTCAACAATACGGACATACAAAAGTTTAATACATCACAGATTACCGTGATGTGTTAAATGCGCAGGTGAACATAGTACGTCTAAGTGTTCTTGGGTTGACAAATTTAACATAAACGTAAAATGCGTATTATTTATTTCCTTTGCTCAGAAGAAATATTTTTTTTTTTTTATTTATTGTTTGAACAGCAATCAGAACTCCTATATGTTCTATAAGCTGTTGGTTAACGACTTAATACTACTTTTTATTTCATGAGAGGCAATCCATCGATTAACCATTCTCTTATGTGTGGGATATTTTTGATATTAGCTCTTACGTCTAATAGTTGCATATGATTGGATGTTGCAGCTATGTCCACGAAGGACGATTTCCACTTGGAATTATATTGTGATCTATAATCCCAAGTGGAAATTTGACATCAAAGCTGCCTGATGTCGGGCTACGGCGGTAGCGGGAATCGATCCAGCGAGCCTGGAACTAGTGGCTGCTAGTCCACGCTCTAACCGATATCGCCACCGCCGGCCCCAGAAGAAATATAACCCAGCATAGAAGAATTGATAGTGCTGTCAACCCAAATATTTCTTGTTCTCAAGCTACATACGGACAATTTAGTTCACAACAGAATCATAATGATTACTCTCAAACCAGTACAGTTACAAGCAATCAAAACAATGATATATTCGAACTAAAATCTATGATGAAAACGTTAATAGAACAGATGGGCACAATGCTCAAAGTTCTCACAAGCTTAGTGGTAAACAATAAATGAACTGGTGCCTTTGGAATGGCAATGGCCTAAGTCAACACCAATCATCAATTCCCCTGATGAACAATATTATTATTTATAAGAAAATATTTAAGTTTATATTATTATCATTAAAATATTATTATTAATCATAACAAATGGTAAAACAACTATTGATTGTTTTTTTCCAACATGTCATTATGATATCATATGGCAATGACCCTTTTACGGCTGACAATTGTAAATTAACAAATTTGCTAAATGTCTTTAACTCGACAGTTATAAATATAGTATTGAATAAAAAAAAGTATTTATTCTCTTATTTTTGTTGTGCGTTTTTTCACTAGATATGAGATTTGTGTCATTTATAACTCAAGTAACTGAGTACTACTAAAATTTGGTTGTCTACTTTGAATATTGTTTTGGTTATACTTCAGGTAAACGAAACATTTTATCTGATTTATATAAAACAATATGATAATTATTTCAAATTAAAATCAAAACTCTCTTTGACAAATGGTAAAAGTTGCAATTACAACACGTGCTGAAAGGATGACATGATGTTAAGGAAAATATTCACCTGTATGTAAAGATCCTCATTCCGTAGATGTTCTGCAATGAACTCGACGGCTTCTGTGGCTTTGCTCGCTTCTGGCGAAAGTAAAATTGAGTCGGAACTTTCGCTTTCCCGACGACAGGGATCTGGAACTCCACACCCTGGTCCACCTCCTCCTAAATCACCAGCAGCCATCTTGCGATTTATTTTGCAATTGGGATGGTGAAGATCTGACAGCTCCATAACTTCCATCTTACTAGATTTAGTGCCGATAGCACTGAAAATGAAACAGAAAGAGCTGATGGGTGGAGCCAGAGACAGTTTTAAATACCTGGTTGGGAAATGGCTAATGTACCAGATTACAAGGTCAATATAAATATACCTGGTACTTACTTAATTAAGTTGATACTTAATTTTTTGATAGGTTTTTTGTACAATGTTTGCGTCTAATTATTTTGTAGTAAAGATTAAAGTTACAAATTTTTAAATTCTTGTTAATCTTCTGATTTATAGTGTGGTTTAGTTAAGTTTTATACATTTTCAATATTTACTGAAGTTATTTTTTGCTCAATATATTTCAAAATGGTTGACATGAAGTTCAGAGAATTTCAGTAGCGACTTCGTAAAACTTTATATAAAAGCGACATATTAAATTGCATTCTATATAAATTTTCCGCTTGGCCTAAAGTATGTGGACATGTGCAAATGAGTGCAGCATAATAGTCATCAGAGAAGCCGACATCAAGAGACTTACTACATTATTGTAGTAATGATATATAGTGAATATTAAGGATTATCTAAAAAATGAAATAACTTTCGCTATAAAGAACACAATAGGACCCATCTCGAAGCTAACAAAGGGTTAACTACAGAAAAGGGTTAATTTATAGTAAGTTGGCTCAAATTTTTACAGTTTTGGTTCAAAACTGATTAATCAATTAGGAGTCAAAATTGTAATAGAACAATAAACCTGAGGTTTCCTTCGTGAGGATAATATTCTGATGTATTGTGAATTTTACACATTCTGGTAATCGTGATATAATGAGACATAGCAAAGGAGATAGTACGCAGTGCTAATATTTGATTGGTGAAAATTTACTGATACTTCAAAGTAACTGATTTTTCTTAGTGCCATTATAAGGTAATCTATTCACATCTATTGGAAAGAGATTTAATTGATCTAGATCGAAAATCATTGCATTGATTGACTTGGTACTAAAATTATGACGTTGATAGTATCAGAATTGAACCTATTGATAATTGAAAATTTCTTGAAAGTATTAAATGAAAAAACTGTTAATAATTGGCTGTTGAATACGTTTGTTAAATGTGAACACATTTATTAACTTCCTGTAAGGGTAAGTAATGGGCCGAAAATCGAAATTGAAATTTTTTACATTTTTCGACGTTTTGAAGGTTTCTGAACATTTTGGCATACCTTGGATGTGTGTGTGTATGTATGTATGTATGTATGGATACAAATTTCCAGTCACGTTTTCGGGCGCACGGATCAACCGATTTGAATGGTTAAAAAAACATTCGACTCCTATTGATAGGGAGATGAGCTGATTAGTTTTTGGCAAAGGCAGATCCAGCAGATAAAGAGCAAAGCGTGCAGAAAATAGAAATCGAGTTTTTGAGAGAACGGAGCATCCGATTTGGATGATCTAGAAAACATTCAATTAGTAATGATTGGGAGAAGTGGTTATCAGATTTTGGCAAAGGCAGGCTCAGTCATTTCGAAGATACGGAGCTAAATGTGCAAAAAATGGCAGTTTTTGAGAGAAATAGGCGTCCGATTTAAATGATTTAAAGAACTTTCTGTTTGTCTTAACAAAATAATTGATTTTGGAAAAAAAATTGTTTCAACTTTTTTTTTCAAAAAAAAAATTTTTTTTATATCGAAAATAATTAAGATTTTATTTTGAATTCTGACTAAAGTTTTAATATACTTTGAACAAATAATTTCAACTTTGCAATTCAGTTTATATAATTCTTATAAATATTAGACAATGTTACAATATTAATAATAATCTATTTCAAAACATTCAGTATTCCTCAAACATTTTGTTACGGTACGGGAAGTTCCAGCAATTTGCCTTAAGGCACGATGCCATACACCCAACTAGTTTTCGAATCAAATTGAAGTTTCTTACTTACCTAATGTGTTTTGGAATTTCTGAAGGCGATCCATAGGAAGGATGAGGTGGCACACCCATGCCTGGCATTTCCATCATCCATCTTAAGCGTGTTTTGCGAGGCCTCTTCATGAGAAGCATGGCGGGTAGATAATGTAAGAATACACTGCGTATCCATAAAGGCATTCTAGAATAAAACCAACCAGATATCTTGTTAGATATAAATTCTATAATTTTCATATTTTTCATATACATTTAAGATATGATCTTGATGTATCGTATCCAAGTTTCCAACAAACCTGTGTGTTCTGGGTCCTCTGAAGTTCCAGTTTATTATAATAACAGTCACCAAAATACTGACTGTGTTCATGATGAAAGTGAACAACAAATATTTGGCGATCAGTGGCAGCACAAGTGATGTAGGAGGTAAAATTTTCGATACCAGCAACAGGAACACAACCAGTGACAGCAAAATACTTATACCCAATGTCACCTGAATAAAAAAATACCAAATATGAGAGTTATATTTTTTAAACATATTGTTAAATGTGATTTAAAAACATATTGCATACATTTGGAACAGTACCTTAAAACTATTCACAAAATTAAAGTATTTTTGATAGTTTTATTAGTCAATCGAAGATTGGTATAAAAAATAATTTTGCTCATTCTCATAACTGCAGAAACAAAAAAATGTTTGTGACCTTATTTTGGTGGGAAGAACGATAATGGACATTTAGGAAAAAAAAAACAATAAAAATGTTATATATCCTAGTAGTTAGTTACATTCTAATAATACATTACTCCTGTAGTGGTACATTATGTGTATCTTCATTTTTTAAATGCATATGACACGTTGTAGATACAAATTTATATCTCCTTGATTTATGAAATAAAATCCAATACGTTCAAATGAATTTGATGTACTTATTATGTATCAACCGACTGAATTATATCTTAGGCAAAAATAGTGAAATACGCAGATTTTGGCTTGGGTATATTATGTTCCTATGTTTGGTTTTTAAAAGCTATAATAGCGTAAACATGTACCAGTGATGGACATAAAATAGAATCCATTAGACGGTTTATAGATTCATTGATCTATAGTCTATGGTCAAAAGTTTTCTTTTACAAGAAAAGGAATAAAAAATCTTATGGATTTAAAATATAGTTTTGACATATTTGTTACGTAGCTTGTAATAGAGAAACAATGTCATACATTTATATTTAATATTGAATGTTTCACTTTGTGCACTTTGTTTTGGATATAGCAAATTCATAAAAGATGAATTGCCAAACCCAACGACTTGTATTAATTACTATATAAATAATTTAGAAATCCATATAACGATACAGATATTTTGATGTATTCAACTATATAGTGCAAAATTTGCGTAGTAACAAAGATATAACAAACTTTTCATAGCTCGAGGAAATTTAATTCATGAAATGCGATGTTTATAATAACAATATTGACAAATCTTCAAAGTTACACCTTGTTTGTACATTCCTTAAAACATTTTCAAGAAAATGGCGTAGGGGCTCTGTTTACTTATAAATATGAAAATTGTTGGCTCATACAAGCATTCGTATATGCGTATGCAAAATATGCTTAATGATAATGGAGTCTTTTTTTTATAAATATACTGAAAAGGTTCTATTACACAACCTAACAATATTGATATTTGTATACACAAAATATAAATATTGTGCATTTATATTTATTCTATTTCCAAATTCGAATTTTATATTTTGACCTTAACATATCTTGATTGAAACCAATTGATAAGAGTTGGCTACCCCAATTTTTTTTTTTTATTTTTTGGGGGCAATTTTCATTTTTCTTATAACGCGTATATAAAGAGTGCATGACCTTAAACTTTCACCCTCTCACCACAAATACTTATTTCGTAAAAATTATAATAATGATAATTTGAATTTTCTATTTCGGTCTTCCTATAAAGTTTTTTAAGGCAATTTTCATTTTTTTTATAACGTGTATATAAAAACACATCATTCTAAATATTCACTCTCTTACCATAAACACCTATTTTGTAAGAAATTATAATAGTAATTAAATCATTTTTCGTCCTGATTTTTGTCAGTAAACGTTTTTGACTAAATTTGTATGAGATGTTTTGAGCTTATAAAAAAGCTCAATTTTATATAAAAAATTCAATTTTATCAAGTGCTGTTCAACTCTAACACTTATTTTTTAATGTACTTAACTTTTCAATATCATCCTATACATGCTACAAAATTATGCCACACTTCAACTTCATTAATCACTAATATTTAATTTTGAAGGACAACCATAAATTGAATCTCTTAGATATAGGGGCATTTAACTCGCCCATGATTCTAATATAGCTCATTTTCTTACAAAACAATTATATATAACAAAACTGGTACAAATAGGGTACTGGTAGTAAATAAATAAAAATTTAAGGAATTAAAATACTTTAATTCAATATTATTCAAATAATTACCTTTTCGCCAGCTTCGGCCGGCAGATAGAATACAAGTACGCAAAGAAACGAAATCAGTACGGTTGGCAGGATTAAATTCACAGTGTAGAACAATGTCTTCCTTCTTATGATTATGTAGAACGTAATATCCGTTTCCGTAGGATGATTACCCTCATATATGTTTAGATAAGCGGGAACTTCTATTATGTCCCACGTGCCTGATTTCCAGTAATCAGACAAGTCGACGAAGTTCTTATTATTGTACAGAGCCAGCGATACCTGGAAGCAAATCACGGAATTATGAGATAGGTAAAAGGAAAATGATGATAGTATCAACTAATTTCAACTAGTTCTTCTATTCTACTATATTTTTCTTTTATTTACGTGTGTATGCTCATGTATTGACATGAGCCTTATTATAATATCATTATACTGACGGCTAGTAAAATATTTCAATAAGTAAATAAGAATATGTTCTCGAGCTTTGTCAACTTTATTCAATGAAAAGCTTAATTTGAATATCTTTAATAGACATTAACTTTGATATACAACTTTGAAATATATCTCTATTTAAAAGTGACATAGCAGTGGCATCAGTTTTTAATTGGAAATATAGATACGAATATGTTTCTAAGTGAAAATAGTCCTCATCCGACATTGCTGCATCAATAAAATATTTGCCCTATTACAGAAATTGTAATAATAAAATTTATCATACAGAAATGAAACAACGTTTGGATTGTCATCTGTAAAACCCACGTAGTATTTAGTCAAACTAGTTTACGACATTAAAAAAAGTGAGATGATCATTGTTGTTTTTATTAGAACACTCTTATTGATTGATTAAATGAACATATGATGTTCATATTGTGATTCATTCTGCATTAAAATTCCAAGTTATTCAACATATGCATTATATCATCTCTTACTAAATAATAATAATAAATTAAATTTATAAATGACAGGATTATTATTGATAATTAGCTCTCAAAGTGACCGTCATTTTAGTACATCTTTTATACTGAAAACTATTCAACGCACTGATTACTATTATTGATTATTCTGACTAAATTTGATTTATAATTAAATATTTTTCCTTAGTAATATCGAATTGTTGCTTTAATTTGTACGTTTTCTAAGTTAGGTTTTCAATTCAAAACGCCTGACTGCACAGCAATCACATGGAATTTCGACAGTATTTGTTACCATTTGGTAACATTGGAATAAAATTTGGTACAAATGTCAAAAAAAAACGATAACAGGGTGTTTCTGACTCGGCTTTATAGCATACGAGTGACGTTGCAGTTTATGTGTAAAACGCTTTAACGCACAGCAAATACATGACATTTTGACAGTATTCGGTATGAATCAGTAGCATAATGTATGGAAGTTGGTTGAGACCAGAATTGGTCCTTTAGGGACCATTTTGTAACATTGGTCTATTTTACAGCAGAATCTGCCCCTATATATATAAAGAAAAATTCACTGAAAATTTAAGTCCGTTTCAGTCATTTTCAGTAGTCGTTATATAAATTTTTTGAAACTCTTTAAATTGTTTTTTTTTTTTAAATATTAATGGTTGCAATATATCAATGATATTTTCAAAAAAATTTTTGTTTGTTCTAAACATATTTTTTCATTCTATCAACATAGTTTCTAAAACCCTTAAAAGTTTTAGGATCGATTTGCTTTAGCGGGCGTCCATTAATCACGTGAGGTATTTCGGGGCTAAGAGGTTTGACAAAAAATCACAAAATATCACGTAGGGGAGGAAGGGGTATAGTAAGATATCATTTATTTGCATTACATATTTATATTTTACCTGAATTTTTTGAAAAAATTCAAACACTTGAAAAATCAAAAGTTTACAATTTTTTTTTTTGGGGGGGGGGGGTTAATTTTGAATATCACCACGTATCGCCAAGGGGAAGGAGAGGTTTAAAATCGTTGAAGTTCCGATCACGTAATTAATGGACACCCCCTCATGAAAAATGAAAAAAAATTAATATTGATTATTTTTTACAAATCGCGGCTTGAAAAGCACTGCCAAAGTTTCTATTGTCAAAGCACTGCCAAAGATCTGAACAAAAAGCTTTTCACTTGCATGGAAGTAGTTTATTTTTGACTTCATGTTATAAGTTTCAAGTTTTGTCAGACTAGTTTTAAAGCGTGTCACTCTATTTGCATAGATAACATCTGGTGTTCTGGTTGGAACGAGTAAAGTTTCAAGCGCTAATTCCTGCGGTTGAGTTTCTTATATCTCGCTCGGAATTTACTCAACTAGATACAAATTCTGCACCCCTTTTTGCATAACTAAACTATTAACTTTATCTTTGTAATGTTATGGTGCTTAAAATTAAAAGTTCTAGGTATAAAAGGCGTGTAATGAATAAATTATATTACCTGATCACCGTTAAAAGTCCAGGAACCGAATTTCATAATGCACGTTTGCTGATCAAATGGAAAATACGTTACATCTATGGTACAAGAACTCTGGAAAAGAAATAAGATCGATAAATTATAAGGAAAAATATATGAACATAAAGTTTGAGTATTGTTAAGTATATTAATGATTTGTTAAGCCCATATAATATTTAAGAATATTATTCGTTGAAAATCGATTGGAAACGAATTGTATAGTTTCCATTTATTCGACGGTAAATATATGAAAGTATAATTCATTGTTTATGTAAGGTTTTTAATATATTTTACACATTTATTCTCAGTTTTTATATGGTATTCGTTTTACAGGTTTTGAATCTTATACAGATTTTGAGAATATTTTTAAACAAAATGTATTAATTTTGCATTTTTTGCATAAACACTAAATAATTGTTTCATTGTCAAAATATTTTACTGTCAAAATACAACATCTTTTTATTTTCTATTTTCGTCATTACATAACATTTTGAAAACAAATTGTAATCGAATCTTGAGAAATAAAAAAAAATATAACACTATAAAATGTATATTACAGTTACGAATTCTTACAATAAATAGTCTGTCTATGGTGGAAATATGTAAATAAGATGGGAACTTTCCCTTTTATGATTCAAACTAAATTTTTTGTGAGCATAAACTAGATTGTTTAAAAAACCAAAACAATAAGCATCCTTGTTTTCACTTTGTTTTTATCTTTGCGTATTTTTAACTATAAAAAATGCAATACACTGGGGCCTCGCTTTACGGCCTAGATACGTTCCGCAAAACTTGGCCGTAAAGCGAAAAGCCGTATAACGAATCAATTATTCTAATACGTATTCATACAAATTCAATGGGATCGGTTCCAAATTTAATAAATATATAATATGGTATATCATTCAAAATGCATTTTATTTTTTTATTTTGTTTAAATTATAAACATATTTAACAAGAACATAAACTTTACATAAAATAAAAAACTTCAAAAACATGACATAATTTTCAAATAAAAATGAAACAACTAAAACCTACAGATCACTGTCACCATCATTTTGCGCTGGTGGTTTGAAAAATTTGTCTAAAGTTTTTTATCTTGCTTTCTTGTCTATTTCTTCCTTTAGTGATTTATAAACAGCTTTAGTGATTTATAACAGTCAGGATGGTTTTCAAGGAGGATGTTTATTCCTTGTTCAAAATATGAAAAAGCGCTCGATATGATTTTTGATGTTAGCTGTTTGGATACAACAGGTTCTGTATCTTCATCAATTGCCGGCTCTGCTTGCAACTGAATGAGTTCCTCATATTAAAGGGGGTTCCCTATCAGCTGCAAGTAGATTCAGCACATCAGATTCGTTTAAATCTTCAAAACCGAGATTGCGCAATATATCGACATAGAGAAAAAAAGCCGTTATAGCGAAACATTTTAGGCCGTATATCGAAAACGTGCCTTAATTAAAGAGGGCCGTTATAGCGAAAGGCCGTATAAAGAGCGGCCGTATAGCGAGGCCTGGGTGTATTAGATAAATAGATTTTTTTACATTTATTTTATTATTAATATAAATAATTATCTTATACTTTATCAAATGTGTTTGATAATAAACAGATTAATATTTATTTTGTGTTTGATGTGTATGTTATTCATCATATTAAAAACTGACAAAAATGGCCTTTTCATAGTGATTTTTCGTTTAGCACGGTTTTTCCTTATGAGAGTGAAATTTTCAAATTACACGGTTTTTTATGGAATCCATCTTCCGTGTAAAGTGGCGGATAGGTGTACATATTTACTATTCGCTGGTAATTAGTAAAATATATCCATAATAATTATTAATCTATAGACTGCATTTTTACAGTATATTTGAATATAAATGATTTTAAGGACTTCAAACAATAATACAGTATTTATTTCAAAAGTTTGTTTATCAAACGTGTGTGACGTTGAAATAAATATAAACTGCATATAACAATGAGTGTAATTATATACACAATAATCCAATTATTTAATATTCTATATATGATGTAACTTAATTTGATAGTTATTTATTACCTGATAAATGGCAGGAGGTACCCATAACACTTCGCCGTTAGGGTATATTAAAACGTTTGATTTATACCGCACCTCATAATTACCATCAGCGCTGAAAATAATAAAATTATATAAATTTCAATTTCAATTACACAAATTTTATTATATAATTTGAAAATAAAAAAATATGTAAGCACCTTACATGGTAGCGCTGAAGTACCTGATTGTAGCTGTGAGTTGTAATTAATTAATCTTAAAAAACAAATATACAATATATTTGTTTTAATCATATTATAACCGTACGAAAAATTTAAAATATTCAATAAATTTTGTATACAATTGTAATTTTTCTGCGCAGTAATATTATATAAATGTATAACAAATCAGATAGACGATAAACATTTTATAAGTAAATTAATATTTGTAATATTTTTCAATTATTACATCATATCTAACTTCAAAATAATCTATATTGAAATCATAATTTATATTAGGTTGTCAAATATCTCCCTTCCGCTTTTTTGCTCTTGGTTTATAATACAAAAAGGCGGAAGGAGATATTTGACAACCTTATATTTAAATCAAAGTAAATTTTTGCACAAGGTGTCCCAGAACTGAACGTCAAGCCGAAACGGGGTGATAAGTTTGATTGTAAATATAACGAAAAAATGGAAAAACAAATTATCCCATGCAGTTTAAAAAATATGAGCTTTAAAATACAACATAGAGCTTTGGTCAAACCGTGTCTTCATTATTTGGTTATAGTGTTTAATTATTACTAATTTTGTGCTTTTAAACTTTGGAACTGTAACCATGAAAAAAACAGTGCTAATAATGCAATCATCAGTAACAAAAATGAAAATTTGCTGATTCGCTCACAATTATTTCAAATGATTTGATCTGCTTATGCGAGTAGAGAACATTCGAATTGAAAAGTCGAGTTCTGAGACACCTTGTAAATTTTTTTATTTATTTATTTCGTCTCGATTACTTTAAGTATTTAGCAACCTACAACATTTCACAACTTGTATATAAATTTACTTTTTCTTAAATATAAATCATCATGATCTCTATATACATTATTCTAGAGTTCGATAGAATGTAAAATTGAGAATTATTAATATTAATTTACTTCTTGCTGTTTTGTTGTGTTCATGTTTATCATCAATCTGATTTGTTATAAAAATATTTCATATAATATTACAGTGCAGAAAAACTACGATTGGACACTGTATATGTAATTAGCATATTATTTGTTCTAAATTTTAATTATTATTATCGATGGTTATATATATAAAAAAAAAACAATTCATATATACATGTGCATAAAACACATTCATACACAAGCATATAAATACATTTAAAATCATTTACAAATGATACATAGATACTAGAGCATACTAGAGGTCGATTTGTATGGGTCAAAAAAAGTCGCTTAGGCACACATGATTTTCGGATACTAGGGATCAAAATAAGATACTTTGCTGAAGAAACTATATCTCTAAAATGAATTCTGATGTCCCGGTGCAATGACACCAAAAATAAGGGTTGACATTTGAAAAATTCCATTTTGCCCCAATTAGAGTCGCGTCCAAATGTATGACCGACCCCCACTAACTTTGAAAAGCCGATTTACCCATGCCCGTGGTTCATCCCCTGTGACCTACCCTGAACGGTTTTTCAACATTCAACCCTTATTTTTGGGTCAACGCACGGGACATCAAAATTCATTTCAGAGGTATGGTTTCTTCAGCAAAGTATCTTATTTTGATCCCTAGTATCCGAAAATCATATGTGCCTAAGTGACCTTTAAATCGACCCGCCCTAATAGATACGTTTCTATTCTATTTTAGACTTTTGAACAAACTGCAAAAAATAATTTGGAAATAACTTATTATAACAACATCGATATGATGGCAATTAAGTTTGAATTAGGAGAAATGCACGTCATTTTGAGTTTCTCATATTTAGACACTATTTGTTATAAAGTATCGTTAAATAATTTCTACGATATAACAAATCATATTACCTTTTAATCAATAACCGTGTAAGTGATATACAATTGTTGGCCGTTCTATACTTATCAGGTTATTAAGAAGATATGTTGCAAACTACTTACTTATTGAACAAAACTATGTCCGGCTTCCAAACTTTGTCGGGCGGCAACCTCAGTACGCCGATGCCGCCGTAATCTGCTTCGTCCCACTGCAATTGATAATCGCTCCACACTAATCGCAGCCACACGTTCGATTTCATGATTTGATTCTTTTCGTTCTGGAATTTTCAGAAAATAAATGTAAATAACTTTATTTCATTGAACAAAATTTTAATTTTATTGCGAGCGCTACAAAATATATGCACATTGTCTTTTGGTTATTGTAATAAAAAAACAAGATGGTTATGAGACGTGTACAACAAGAATGTGTATTACATTATCGTCAAAACTCTTAATATGCGATTTTACGTTATCATACAAAATTTAATTATTCAGTACAGAGACTGGGTGCGGTTGCGCCACATTCTTTGATCAGCGATAATTTTGTTAATGTACCAGTCATTTTATTTAGTCAAATTAAACAAGAGTATCTTTTCTATATTATAAATTCAAATAAAGCTTATCTAGAATTGAACTAATGGTAAATTTATGTGCTACGGTTGGTGGCGACATCTATTGAATGATGAAAGAATTACAATTGATGTAATATCAAAGCGGCCGTGTTTGCCATCTATTTATACTTATTTAGCTATGGTACCAGTTAGCTGGGTACAACGTAAATTAAATGATAATTTGAACATTTACCTACGTGGTTCTACTTAATACTGTCCTTCAATATGAAGGGTGAGTCATAAAGTCAAATCATAAAAAAAAGAACGAGTGGCATAACCGCCCTGGGGTGTGGGGACGGTTGTGACAACCGTAATTAACTATGAATGTTCAACTTATAGCAAAATAACAAAGTGATCTATCTGTATACAAGTAACAATCATCATTAAAAGAAATCGAACTTAAAAAATTATTTTTAGTGCATTAAAAGCAATGCGGTCTACGGATTATGTTAATGTAGGGCAATAATGGAAACTTGTTCAAACAAACATACTTCTTCTTTTTTTCTCTGGACCCTATTTCAAAATCAGCATAGTTTAACCGTTATATAATTAATATTAATGTGTAGATTAATTCAACATATGTTATATATCCAAAAATTTTACTAGTTAATAAAATTTATACAAACTTTTTTATATAACCTGTTAATTAAAATTTTTACACACTTAAAATAAATTTATTTATAAATATATTTATATCAATTATCATTATATTATTTAATCATTAAAGTTATCTATTTTAATTTGTTTTGCTTTAGAGTCAGTTTCAAATAATATATCATTATTTACTAATGATAATATATCTCAAGTTATTTCATAATACAAAAATTTTTTGTGAAAATTTAATCAATTATTGAATAATGTTTATTTAGCGATTCGAACTATTTAGTTTATGTTGTAGATATATTATAAATTGATTGGCAAAGCTGTGCTTACGATAGAAAATTTTATTTACATTTTGAATATAGGGCGGATAAACACAGCCAAATTTATCAATCACTAAAATATTTTACACAGGTTTTCATGACAGATAACCCAAATTCCAATTTATTTATCTGCAAAGAAGAGAATTTAAATTCTAAAGTTTTCTTAGATATGTATGCATGTTGTGTATTCTATATTGATTATACAAGTACCAATGTGGTTGTGAAGTTTTACGTGAAGAAACTCAAAATAATCCATAACTCCATAAATATGTATAACAATGTAAAACATAAATTCAACTTTTGTTCAAACATAATTATCAAAGGAAAATGCATAAGAGAACACCTACATTACATAGTTAACAATAATTGTCCAAAAGGGCAGATAAGTTGACAAAGTAAGGACTAATATTGGAGAAAAACTTTTGTTCCTATCAGTCAAAATTCCTGATTTACAATATCTTAAACTTTTAAAGTAAAAAGTAAAGTAAAGTTAATAAACTTTACCATCGCAGAAAATTTATATTTGGTGAAACTTGTTTCATCCTTACATATCTCTTTTCATGAGCTTTTGCGGATTTATTATTAACAGTGCAAAAATATAGGTTTTGAAATCAATAACTACTTATTTAGGGCAGTTTACAATTTGTCACTGCCTGTGTAATAATTCTTCATGCCATATTATCTGTGATATAATAATTGCTGTAGATTTTGAATTTTATATGTCGTACAATAATTTTTTACCATGAATGATAGATAAATCATTTTATAGGTTATGTCAAATCATTGAATGATATCTAAAAAGCTAAAGTTCAAGATTTCTGGACTAATTTTTATACTTTAATTTGATACTTGACTAATTTGAAATAAATTTGATGGATTTTGTCGATTTGAAATTTTATTACTAGAATTGAATTGGATCAAAATTAGTCAATATAAAAGAAATATTTGAATTTTATATAGGTACGATTGACTATCTAGCCATTCAAGTGTCTTGTCTCTTCTTTTGGTAAATGACAGTGTATTTTCGTTTTCCATTGGATTTCCTCAATTTGGTTTAAATTAAAGGCATTTTACAATATATTTCTTATAATTATGTTTATATTCCACTTAATATTCAATTTGATGAACAAATGAATATGCAATCGAGATTTGAATAGTTACTTCTGATAATCGTACGTCCGTATTGTATTAAACAAGAGAAAAGTTTTGGTAGTTTGTAAAAATTGTGAAACTGATTTTGTCCTTCTCTTCTTTATGTAACGTAAAGTCTTAGATTTAATGCTGTTTTTATGGCCCTTTTCTAAAATCGTTCCAGAAAAAATTGAATACGATCATTAGTATTGAGCCACGAACCTTATTTAATGTATATTAAGCCATTTCAACACTAATATGATAATTAAGATCACTTACCACGTTAATAAGTTGTACAAAGGCTAAACCAAATCTGACATCTACTTTTTGCGTCATATTCTGCACAGGCCGAATCAGCTTATTGTATCCACGAAACAAATCTCGTACAAGTCTTTCTTCATCTTCTGAACAGGAAACTGTTGAAATATATAAAACTTTTATTGCAAAGTACTGAGAAATAATGAGATTATGAATAATGTTATTCATATGTGCAAAGTTGGCAAGGTTGATATTACATTTTTTATTTAATCGTATTAAAATTAAGCAGGACTTGAAAAATGCTTGCACAAAAAAACGATATAAGCACGTATTATCATGTATTTATGATCCCGTATTGCAATTATGTCGAAGTGGTCAAACAACCATCTTCGATGAATGTCAAAATGCACTAAAATTTTATGTAAATATTATACTCGTACAAAATGCATAATTTATTTTCCTACAAAATAATCTCAAAGAAATATGTTCTATAATATGGTGGAACAAAATTTTGTCTTGACAAAATCAATAACAAACGCAAAATAGGTCTAAAATGTCTTTAAAAAATGAGTATTTTTATAAAATTAAATTTATCTTTTACTTACATTATTTAGAACGGCTTATTTTATTGATATTGTTGAGCATATTCTTAAAATTAAACCAAATTATTCTAATATTGTTGAAATTTCTTTTCTATATCAACAAAACTAGAGCCCACCGTAACGTAAAGACGTGGTGTAACACAAATTAAGGATTCGATTCTAATCTCGGTCAGCTCGATATCAGGTAGCATGATATCAAATTTCCGCTTCAGGTTACAGATCTTAGGTATAGATCTCAATAGATAATTTTATATGAAAGCAAAGTTACATATAATTTTTATGAGCTATTTGGTTCAATGCTTGCACACATATACTCGCACTTATAAACACGCATATAATATTGTTGTTCTAAGTTTTAGTATATCAATATTTCTCATTTCAATGAGTGATTTACCAATTCAGCTCAGTTCTCCAAAGATGTAGTAATGCTAAATCCCTTCAGTACAATTTTTTGAGATCTTTTTCTTCAGTGTTCTGTAAACTAGTGTCTCGAAGAATTGAGAGACTACAGAATTTGTCCAGTTTTCCAGTTTTATGAAATGTTGGCCACTAGTTTGCTTATTGCGCTGTCTATAAAATCTATATTTGGATCGTCGTGTAAGATCTTAGGAATCACGGAGCATATAAAAATGTGAATTAAGGAAGTACTATTACGTATAGTCCTAATGCTTCTATTAGGATAAGACAACTACTGGGTATATTTAAAAAAAAACAAGCCCAACAATAAGATGTCATAATAATTTAGAGGTCGATTCTACTGTAAAATAGACCAATGTTATGGCAACATAGTGGTATGTAGCAGTTTTCATATAAAGTGGTACTAAAAACTGTCAAAATCCTATGTGGTTGTTGCATTCAGGCATTTTAGATTGAAAACCTAACCTAGAAAATGCACAAATGTCAAAAAACGACGTTATCTTAACTGCATTTATGAGATATGGCTTGATAACATATGAGTGAAGTTGCATTTTACGTGTAAAACGCCTGATCGCACAGCAAATATATAGGATTTTGACAGTATTTAGTATCATTTTGTATGAAAACTGAAACGTAGCATAGCCTTGCCATACCATTGGTATGGTATACATTTATTTTATCGACTCATTAATGGCCTCAAACAGGGATAGTTTGACATTCAAAGCAATAAAAAATAATATCTACATAAACTGATAATGCTGAAGTGTAGCACATATAACTAAAGACAAAGTTTGAAACTTTTCTTATATTTTGAGAGTTTTATATCTAACTTGAGTATTTGGCCCGAGATAGTTTTCTGGTTTGACATAACTGATGTATATATATGCATGCATAGGGATATACACGGTCGCGTAAGTACATTCGTACAATTCGCATTCGCCCTCACAATCTCGTCGGTCTGACACTTCCTTAATTATTAAAATCAAGTTCCCAAGTTCTAAATAGGTTGCTCCGTCGTCGCGATGTACTATGAGACCCCCGGCATATATAGTGTCTTAATATATTTATCGAGATGCTTCCACGGGTCATTCTGAAGAAACTTCTGACTGCGGATAATATGATTTCGGCTTTCGCCAAAATCTCTCGTAATTTTCATCCAACTATCAGACGAAATATCATCAAAGTTTGACTTTTGCCAAATCACCCATCCACTTCGATTCATCCAGGCAAGTTCCTAAGTGACAGAACGGATAACGGAGCCCCATTGCTTCCAAGCGCCCGTCAGCAGCCTATCCACACACTTTTGTGCTTTGTGCTGTTGACGTGCACACATCAACGACTTTTCGAAAGTTGTTTTGTTCGAGAGCCCTGTTCGTTAAATGCTTCACATAACAATTATAATTGGAATATTACACGTTATTAATGTTATTTACACAAACAATTATACGTCAGATGTTTGATGGGATTAAAGTTCACCGTGAGGTTTTATATTACATTCAATGGAAAATTTGAAATTAGAAATATTTGTTTGCAGTACCTACTAAACGCGTGAAGTTCCCGAAATTGTATTACCTTCTACATGTTGGCTATATGAAATTTGAAATGATACTTTATGCAATGAAGCTCTTCTGTAGATTAGTGTTAAGAGCTATGGGATTTTAATAAGAAGTGCCAGAATCGCACCGGACATGAGTGATATCGATTTTCACTCCGAAATATATATAGCATTATGTTTCTAAACAATTATGGTGTCAGGCACTGCTGCACCAATCCTTATTTCAGGTTCCAAGTTTGATACCAAGCAGTAGTGATATCGATTTTCACTTGGAAATATAATTAGCAATATGTTTTCAAGCAAATATATTCCTTTCCAGAGACTGCTGCACCAACAAAAATAATCATCAATATTAATTGTAACTAGTAGTGTATAACATTGTGCCTAGAGGCAAACTGCTGGAACTTTCCGTACCGAATTGAAATTGTGAAAATCCGAACTGTTTTCGATACTCAAAAAAATTTTTTTTTGGAAATTAACAAAAACTTTTTGAAATAAAACGAAAATTCCCAAAAACAATAATTTGTCAATACAAGCAGAAAGTTCTTTAAATCATTCAAATTGGATGCTCATTTTTCTCAAAAACTGTTATATTTTACACATTGAGCTCCGTATCACCGAAATGGCTGGACCTGTCTTTGCCATAAACTAATCACCACTTCTCCACATCTTTGCGAATTGAATGTTTCCATGTTTATTTATAAGAATTACATAAACTTAATTGGAAGTTAAATTTATTTAATTAAAGTATATAAATGAGCTTTAGAACTTTAGCCAAAATTAAAAATGAAATGCGGATTATTTTCGATATACAGAAACATTTTGTTTTAAAATAATTTTTTTTCCAAAAGCAATTGTTTTGTGAACACAAGCAGAAAGTTTTTTGAATCATCGGACGCTTATTTTTTTAAAAACTGCCATTTTTTGCATATTTAGCTCCGTATCTTTGAAATGACTGGACCTGTCTCTGCCAAAAATTGATTATCACTTCTTGCTATCATTACGAATTGAATGTTTTGGATCATTCGAATCGGATGCTTCGTTCTCTCAAGAACTCGATTTATATTTTCTGCACTCTTTGCTCCGTAACTCCAAAACGGCTGGACCAACTTTTGCCAATAACTAAGCAGCACATCTTCCTATCAATAGGAATCGAGTGTTTTTTAATTATTCAAGTCGGTTGATCCGTGCGCCCGAAATCGTGGACGAAAAATTGCATCCATACATACATACACACATATCCATTTTTTTAAGGTATGCCAAAATGTTCAGAAACCTTCAAAACGTGAAGAAATTAAAACATTTTCAATTTCGACTTTTGGAGGATTGCACGCACAAACTCATGTGGACGGGGTCTTGAGTTCAAACTTCGCTCTGGACAACCTGACATCGTGCAGCAGCGATGTTCATTTTCTTTTTAAAATATAGATCAAAAATATGTTCCCAATTGAAAATAGCCTATTTTGGGATGAAATGGCAATGGGAAATCTCTCACACTATTCTTCTCTAAATGGAGTTTAACGCTACTCACGGACCTGCCCTAGTGCAGTACTACCCATTATTATTATTATCACAATAGCTAGCTATAAGAACATTAAGTTCTGATCGCTATTCAAATATTAAAAATATACATATCAGAATTTTTATGAATGCATGACAATGCAGTTAGTAGCAGAATTTTACATGGAACATACTTGCGTTACAATATCACATTACAATTCAAAAAATATAATATTGTCGTCAGTATAAAACATCAATTTATAGCAGATGCATTTTATTCGTTTTCTGATTGTATTTCAGACTCTTTTGTTCGACATGACAAAGCTATGCCATTCCATTCTTCCAATATCAATTCACATCACTGAGTTCTAGTTAGTTTCAGCAGTCAACTCTGTATATAGCACTAGAGCTGAAATAAATTTTCCAAATACAACGTTGCAATGTGTTGATAATTTATGTGTTTCTCGTTTTAGAATTACTTGAAAATATGAGCAAGATGTAGGTGAATGCATTATAGTTTGGGTGACATTGTTTTCAAAGAATATTAACTCAAGATATATGGATTTATTTACACAGAGGTTGTTTTTTCAATATGAAAATTTCAAAAAGTAGAACTTTATTGGTTGCCTATCAGTATCAATCGTACACTAAACGGGTAATAAAAATATGTCAATAATGAACTTGGAATCATTTACTGCTTTTGGCTTTCTTTCATAGTCAAGTATGTTTTTTCTTCATGGTTAGTGTTTAGTTTTAGGGTTATTCACGAAATTTTGATTGACATAAATTTAACGTGTTATTTCGCAAAAGAACTGAAAATGAATTGTAATACAGATTGTAAATATATTTTACAGCTCTGTAGCAATTTTTTATCAATCGGGATTTAATGCCTATATGAATGAATACGAATGTTCTACTTAAATGTAACTTTTTTTTTTAAATATTTATTCATGTAGACTGAGATTATCTAGATTTCCTAAACAATTTGTTCGAGACTAATTGAGCTAATCACTTAATAA